TCGGCAGACGCCTCTTCAAGAACAACGGTCTTTACGCAGTTTTGGCAGCGTTGCCACCAACATTTCTTCAAGCGGCAACTAGGAAAGCATTGTATTTCACTGTGTTTGGCACTTTTTTGCATGTCACAACCGGTCTTCTGCATTTACAACATCGCACAAACGCACGCAAATATCGCAGAACTAGGAGTTGTCGTCACATTGTCTTATGCAGCTACGCGGGTCATGCGGTGGGTGACCAAGCAGCGTCCGAATGGTCTCAACAGGATTTTACTTTTACCACTCTGAGTTGCACAACTCTAGACCTCCACGCTTGAACCATCCTTCCCGCAGGCATCGCCTGTACGCGAAGCCTGTGTCAATATATCCAGTATACACATAGCCAGCTATATACACCAAGAACATCCAAGAACAGCAGGCTTTTAGCAAATGAAAGGTTGATCGAGGCTAGACTTCTATGGAAGAATTGTATTGAATTCTTGTTTTTGACAAACTGTTTCTGACAGCTTTGCAGTGAATATCAATGAAACACTGCTGAGAGTAAGGTTGCCCCAGCCTGCCACAGCGCGCTTACTGCCACGGCAGCGTATTAGTGACCTGTCTGTATGCTTGTGTTTCATGCACACGGCATTGCATACCTCCGTTAGACTATCTGCAAGGAACATGCCGCTGCTTCAGTAAATGGCCCTCACATTCATTGGTGGCATTGTGCATAGGTTTCCTCTGATCAGTGCGCATTGTTCTCAGGATCGGGCGCCAACACGTTTGATCCGTCAGACTTCTCTGACACATACCTTAGAGTGCAAATTGCGCAGGAGACTTGCTATATACCTGGCTCAACTGCAAAGAAAAAGTAGAAGCACCAAAGGAGGATCACACCATGTCATGTTCAAAAGGCTTGCTCTCCAAGTAACTGCATAGAGAGGCCACCTAAGTCTGTCGAGATGGACTATGCATACCCACAGAAAGAATCTAGTGGAATGAACATGCCACCGTCCAAAAATCCTTTGTGGGAACATATCAGTAATGTCAATGTCGCTCTCCACACCGTCTCACGACTTTCCCGAGGCAAGCTGCGCTCAGCTTCTTCAATGAAGAAGAGTCTTCGCCGCCAATTCCTGGGATCTGAACACACAACATGAGAGGCTCTAAAACATTCTAAGACTCTAAGAACGTCACATCCCGAATACACTGCTTGATTAGGCTGAGCTACTGGATCTTGCTCAAATTTGCTGGTGTCAAATCGACACCTGCACAAAGCTTCCACAGGTAACCTCAGGATGCCCAGTCAGCTTTCAAGAAAACCACTTGTTCAACACCCATCTTTGATTAGGAAGGTGGGCACTCTCCGCATAACGGCCGTTACAAATTACAGAGGAAATATTTAGAGAGCTACTGAACTTATGTCCTGCATTAACTCGAAGCATGAATACCCTCAAGGACTCAAGGGGGTACAGTCACAATCCCAGCCACTCGGAAACATTGCAATTTCATGTACGAATGGGAGGATATGCGCGTCAACGGGGACAAAGTGGAACATGTCCCTGTCCAGGGAGTATCGCTTGGCATATTGGTTAGGAGTTGTTGTAAAGCTTCTTGAAGAGGTGCAAACGCTCAGCTTAATCGTCCACCTGTTCTGATCAATTTTAAAACTGCCCGTGGATTTCTGCTAAGGTGTTCAAGTGACATCCTGTAATTGCATGATGGTAACAGGAACCCCTATTGCCTATCAAAGAGTCACAAGGAGCATGCTTGCGTAAAATTCGGCATTCAGTGCGTGTTTCATCCAACTGAGGCACCCAGAATTTGTCCTGGCAACACTTGGTGCTGAGCAAGTCAACTCAAGTCAACATCGAATGGGATGAATACCACAAATACCCTATAATGATAACATAGACTAACAATGGAACCACCTTCAGGCTTGCAGATTCTTTCCATCGAGTCATCACATGCCTTCAGAACGTTCACCATCTCTCAATCTTTGAGCGTCAAACCGGCACAAAACCTAAGAACCAAATCATTACATATATATATAATTAGTGCAAGCGTGAGCTATCCTGCGTCCTAAGTAGTAGCTACTTGTAGGTACCGACTCCCTAGCTAACCTACCTCACCTCTACTAGCGGCCCACCCCCCCCCCCGCCCGGTCATTCAAAAACACACACACATATATATAATATAACATATATTAAAACATATTATATTTATATATATTTTATAACAAGAGCCAGCCTCACTTCGAGCTTCAATGCGTTCCCGTGTCCGGCCCTCCTCGGCTCTTCATTGGGCGCTCTCCAGGCACTGGAGGCGCCGGCTTTGGCTGATTCAAAAAGAGAACAGGACAGCAAAGCTGGCAGCCTGAGCGCTGGCACCCCAAGTGTGGCCCGAAGGGAGAAGGACATAAAGTAAATGAGAAGATCGTCAATAAACAAGAAAGACTCAGAAAAACACAAAGAGCAACGTTTCACCAAACATGTCCAAGAAGAGTGCGGCCCAACCAAAGGGTGCGTGCTGAAAAGTTCAGTAGTGCGAAGGCAGCGAAGATAGTCCAGGTCCAAGTGAAGTAAAGGTTGTTTGCTGGAGGCTATCGCTATTAGGTTGGAGGCTTCTAGATAGGGAGGCCATCTCTAGTAGATTATTAGTTGGTTGCCAGCTGAGCGGCCCCATGTGCAGCAGGCTCCCACAATGCGCCAGGTACTTCCTAAGAACGCGAGGGAAAGTAACTTAAATCATGTGTGCAACCTTAGGCACCCAAATTGTTTAAACTCTTCCAAGGAGGTCCACAAAAAAGCTTGAATCTGTAATTAGTTATATAACAGAACATGTGGGGTGAACGGGAATGAGTTACAAAAAACCTTTTACCAGCAGCTTGGAGCCCTTGAGTGGCTACACATTGCGCTGAACATGCTGTCCCTCTGTACGATGCAGAATATCTTGTGAGCACGAAAGCCGACAGCGTGATGCACGTCTTTGGTCGTGCTATGTCGTGCTACATTCATCATGCTAACAAAGGCAAGTGCGTTGGATTTGGTGCAGGGTTGAGGCCGCCTGTGGGCTTCCAAACATGGAGTTCCAAACATGTTCACATGTTCCTGCCTTTGACTAGCTCTTCATCCCGCCACGTTTTAATCAAGCTGCAGGGACTCACTACGTATCTCGAGGCCAAGCGGCTACCAAGTCTCCTCCAGCAACGTGCCTCATAAATTGAGTGCTTCGGGTACTAAGCACTGTCAAGCTACTCCATGTTTGCCCGAAAATGAGCAAGCTTGGCTGTAGTCCTAACGCACCAAAGGTTGCGCAACATTTCTTGGGAATATGTTGAAGTATGCTGAAGCAAAAGTGCCTTTGTGCTACCTGACATCTTTGGCCATGTGGCCCATGTCAGTGGCTGGCCATCCGCATCCAGGAGTTGCGAGCCAACTTCGCCCCCCCAGGTCCTGTGCGGTCCGCAGTCTGGTGGGTTGACCTGAAATTCTGGAAGAGGAATGCCTCCCATGTCATGAGACTAGGGTTTGATGGATCTTGCGCTCCCAATGTGGTTTCAAAGGGTGGCTCTTCTTACACACTCGTCATATGAGCTTCCCGCAACTTAACAACTAATCATTCGCGAAAGCGAAACAAACGGACGGAAGCGGAAAAAAAAAAACAGAGAGAGAAATAGAGACTGCGTTGATGTCGTCTGCAAAAACCCTATGGCAAAACCCTACCCTAAAGGCCCTAAAGTGGGGTTTGATATATGCATGTGTAATTGTAAATAGTTATATGAATACCATTGATTGATCCGTGCTGCCCGCTTGGCTAAGACCGGCCTCCCATGTCACTCTCCGCTCCAAGCGGGTCCGCGGGGTCCGCGACATGTCATGAAGGCGAGACGAAGTGGGAATGAAAACTCTGAACCCAGCCATCCTATATTCACTTGCTACCAGTTAGCGATGCACTTGTTACTAGTAACTAGTAAGAAAACACGTCATGCAATGACATGCATCGACATCCAGGAGCACCACTTGCCGTCTTTATGTTCTGTTGGATTCTGTGATATTGCATATTCGAGCTTCATGGTAGGCAGGTCACGGTAGGTAGGGAAGGAAGATTCTGCACGTGAAGTTTCGTTGGTCCCTTGTTCAGAATCTGCACTGGCTGGACTGTCCACACGGGACGGACAAATCCACCATTCACATCACATCAAAACTAATTATACACTATTATAGCCTGTAGCACACATTCCAATGTGGCGATCTGTGGTGTATATCATTGTAATTCTGCCATACTGCTCTGCGAGCCCAAACACCAGCAAACACTGCGGGCGGAGTTACCCCGCGCCCACTCCTTGCCTACGGTTTGGGAGTGAGTGTTGAGGAGCATCAAATAGAGCAATCTAAACAATCTCTGCGGCTAAACAATCAACCTCACAAATTGTGATTCCGTTGACCGCCTTCATCCTCGGGTTTGTCAGCCTGCCGGCATCAATGCAGAGTGTTAGGCGGTCAATCCAAAAAATGTCTGCCAAAAGTGCTTGACGACTGACTGGTTTCCTTGAAATTCCTTGGATCTGCATATAGCGGAACGTCCAAATGCCATCAAATGCCAACCGAACCATCCATGACCACAATTGCCTTCCCCTTGACAAACATGGCCCAATTTCGCAACATGTGCTGAAGGCCTCTTCCTCTGGCTCTAGCTGACTTCGACCACCAAGTTCTTCGCCTTATCGGCAAGTTGCAAATGGTTGCAAAAGAGTTTTGATGTGATATTATCTGCAGTGCCATGGTCTGCATAACGTACATATTATAGTCATATTATGGTTTATTGTACTACATTAGGTTATAGTTATAGTACACACAATATTTACAGTTATATACTAATTTATAGTGCCGCCGGACACTCTTCACTGAGAAGACCACCAGCAGTATCATCTGCCTTGGCCGGCTACAACTATCAAATGACTTTGTGACTCCATGTCCATGGCTTGGAAATTGCTCATGGCACAGCAAATTGATATACCCTTCGGATTGGCAGGTGTGGAGACAAGGTCTCAGGTCCAATCAGCAAACATGCTTCAAATGAAACGAGCTTTTGATCGTCAGCCGTCTTCGTCTTCTCTCCTCTCCAGCATGTCCAGAACTGCCCGCCGGGCACGGGCACCTCAGGACAGAATGGCGAGCAATGTCCCGTTTTGCTGGATCGGTACTGGCAAGCGACCTCTCTCCTTGAAACTTCTGAGAAGCACTACCGGCTGCAGCCAATTGTCATTGACTAAAAATATATAAACATATATACTGTAACAGCATCACAGGGCACCCGGAGAAGCTGTCGCTTTCAATTTGATAGTTGGTAGGTGCCCTTAGAATGGCTTAGAGGCTCCTCATGAGGTGCGTCTATGCCGCCTTGTCAAAAGTATCCAAAAGCCATCACAGAGCCATACTTTCGCCGTGGTGCTGGTTCTTGTGCCCTCTAAGCCAACATGAGAGAGGCATTCCAGTGCGCCAGCTTCTCGAGCTTGCAGCAAGGAGGCTATGCCTTTGTCCGTCAAAGGGTTCTCAGTCAAATGTAGCTCCTCCAGGCTTGAACATAGACTCAACTCTGACAAGATTATTTGATTGAGAAAAGGCTGCAACAGGTGTGGGCCCCCCACGAGAATGCTCACACAACTTCACATGTTCATCTATTTCATATTAGTTCATATTATTTCACATGCATGGAATACTTCTCTGCTGTTCCATGCAACCATATGCAACCCTGAATTCTGCTTCATGCTCAAATCCCAGTCCGACAGCTCAGGCAAATTGCCCTGAAGGCCACCCTCCACCAGCATTTGCAGACCTGTCATTTGCAGAACCCTTGAGAATAAGGTCCGCTGAGTGACTAGTCTCAGCGTCTAATGCATCTCTTGGACCCTGGATGCTCCAAATCATGCTTTGATACTACTCTGTCACGGTGAGTGAAGTTGGGTTGCGGTTTATCTGTAGATTGAGTGCTGGCTGCTAGGGTATTTTTGAGTGTCTCGAAGGACAACCAACTGCGTTCTATTCAAGCTGATAGATCAAATCTCGCCCTTCCCACCACCCCAGTGTTGCCTTCATCACTCACCCCGTTGCCAATGCCGAAGCTCCGAAGCAAACGAAGCCTGGCTCAATGATGCGTTTTCGTTTCAAGAAGCATGAACACATTATATAATTGAGCAACTACAATTGAAATAACCAATTATTAATTACTCACAGATAGCTCCTGTTGACTTCTTGCAATGAATCACCCAATTCACATTCCATGGCCAACCCTTCCAGAAAGGGAGAAGGAGCCCCATGCACAGGACAAAGGAAGAGAAGCCTAAATTGAGGACCGAGCAGCCGGCCAAGCTGCATTGGCTTCCACAAACTCACAGCACCTGAAGACTGTGGGTATATCAAGTATCAACATCCATAGTAGCACAGTGAGATGCGTGACGAAATGGAGCCCAGCAAGTTGCTCGGACCTCAAATGTTCATCTTTGAAAGTAGTATGCTGCTTCTGCTCATGTTCTGGACTACAACAGCCACTGATGCGGCCATAAGCCATTCAAGATCATTCAAGCAGCATCGGTGCAGTTGCTGACCATGAGAAAGCCAGCTGGAAATCCTTTAGCTGCTTTAGCTCTCATCACATGTTGAATTCAATCCTTTTTGACCTTTTTCGTGGATCTGTTCTTCCCGGCCTTTGTCTGTGATTTTGTTGCCCATGACCTTGAGATGCAAAGTATCACGTTTGGAGCTTGAGCCAAACACGAAGTACAAACCATAATGATGCAGGAACTGGGCAGAACAGGGGGTAGGACACAGGCAGCACGCAGTCTTTCCCGGACCATGTGTTGAGTAATTAAGTTGCATGGCAAGCAGCTAACAGGGTTTCCAGCCCTTTCGGCGCAAACGCATCTTGCGCCATCGCTTCCGTCAAGGCTTCAAAGCCATCCTGAAGCTGACAAACTCTTGAACAGTGCTGCGCACTAGGCTCCTTCGGTGGATTCTTACCTTACCCGTACCCCTCAAATAACACGTCAAAAGGCAGCACGAGGCTAGTTCTGATGCGGATTGGCTACCAAAATCAAGCATAAGGTGCATCCTGGAAACGTCACCGATGGCATTTCCTGCAATTCACACCAGTCGTACTAAGGACAACGTTGATCATCATCTCACGCTGACCATCTGAACGTGTCAGATGTCTCATGATTATAAATAACCGAAGCACTCAAAGGCTCCGTGTGTGTGTGTGTGCAGGCAAGCTTTGACTGCTGCTTGGCTGCCGTAAAGATACATCAATCGAAGGCTTGGGAAAGCGCCCTTGCCAGCTGCTTCAGCAAAGACCTTCATAAATTCATCGCCGAAAAGGTTGTCCTGAGTGAACATCGCACATTGATTTTGGCAACTGTGCCAACAGAAAGCCCGTGTGTTCATATCAAGGTCATGGTGCACCTCACACTGCCTAAAGGCCTAAAATCTTGATCTCTGGTACTAGTGGAGGCTTTGTTGACATCGTAGTGTACGACACGTGACATGTGTCACTTGTCGTGCCTCTTCGTACATCATGTTGGACAAACACTGCTGTGGCATGCGGCAAGGCATGCTGAAACAATCGTCAACTCAGCATCGGACAATCGCAAAGAAATCTGTCAAAGAACCTGGCAGAAAGAATGCTAAAATATGAATACTCAAAATTTGCCCTCCGTGATCCTCCCTCATACAAGTATCAATTCATTCCACAGTTCCACACCGAGAAGCTCAAGCCTGCGTGTTTCAGCTAGACTTGCCAAACAGGCAGTTTTTGAGTCCCTCTATGAGTCAAGTAGCTGAATGGGAGCAAAGCACCCACATGTGCCCATCTACTGAGGCCAATGTCGCTAATGTCGTTGACATTGATGCAAAAATCCTCCACTTTGCTCATGGTTATGCAGAACCTCCGAGTGGCAAAAAGGACAATCGGTTACAACAAATTGAGTAGTGGCGACGATGTTCGACAATGTAGAAGTAGAAGACTGTGGCTATACTATTACTGTACTGAAACAGGAATCTGCCGAACTTAGGCTTGAATGTGCGAGTCTGGAGCATGTGCATCTAAGATGCTTCGGGCTGGAGCACAGTAGTTCCTGAGGTTCGGCTGACCCATTATGGCTGAAGTACTTGTGAACTTGTGAAGCCCGTGCATGAGCTTGCATTAACGTCTGCATAAGTTATTCCCTTACCATACTAGCGATACTAGGTAGGATTGCCTATATACTTGTGGAACAGGTGAATTCATAACCTGTTGTGCGCATAGCCTCCTATGCAAATCTTGCAGGCACATCACGCAATACACATGTTTCTATATTATATAGCTTCTTTTTTCCATGTAGGAAACCAAGTCTTGCCATAAATCGATGCCTTCGAATGAGCCTCGGCAGCCTTCATCACCACACCAATGCCAAGGTTCCATGTCATCGTCCGTCAAGAAGCTCTTCCTGGTTTAAGTGTCATCTCTTGCAGACTGGGATCTTGGCGACAAAATGCCAGTGCATACCGCAGTGCAATTCTACCCCTTCATATCTAAAGATCACCGCATAGACTGTGTCAGAATGTTTGACTCTTCATTGTCTTTCTTCTGGTCCTAGTTTGTCGCCTGAGATCTCACAAAACTCTCTATTTGCTATCTCTTGTCAGATTGAATTGGTCCATATCCATACATTGCAAATAAGGATCTTGAAGTTCAAGGCGGATGATGCAAACGTTGCACCACGTGCCTTCGAAAGCAGTATCTCCAGCGCCCGCATATCCTGCCAGTGCTCCCTTCAAAGCTCTGAAAGGCTAATTGGTTGGCTGGAGATCCCAAATCCCAAACATGGAGCATGGGACAAAACTGATTTGTGTGGCGGGTCCGTGTTCTCACAAAAGTGCGCTCACACCGCAGGGATGCAAACACAGTCTCTACAGCAGAAAAGCACCGCATTCACCAAGTGGCATTGAATATGTCCTACTACAATAGAAAACCCTGACATGTTGGCTCTGTAGCGGCCTCAGTCTCCAATATCGAAATGTAAAAAGGTCTGACTGCGGGGCCCTGGCAGCAACAGGGACGCTGGTTCTGTCCAAGCATCAATGACTTCTACTTTCTTCTCCTGCATGTGAGATCACACCGGCATGGTCGGCACAACTGGATTAAGGTGCACAGTTCCAGTTCTTGCTTCTGCGGCAAATGGGATGCAGTTGTGGAATTAGTTTTGCAACTACATAAGTATATGTAATTACTGACAAATTTAGTGATCAGGTCCTGCAAAGTTTCAGACCAAAGATGCCGGAGCTGCAGAGACGCACGCGCTAAGTACACCATCTCCAAGGTGTCCAGCAAATGCCTGCGTGGCTTTGATGCTGCACAATCCTCCTGCCACCGGTTCAACTTCCAATCTTAATTTGGTGGCAGCTCAATTTAAGAGTTGCATGTCTTTTATGGTGAGCATTCTGATAGCAAGGCTTGAAGGCTTCAGCCACATCTGTTCCTCAATGCATGCAAGCCTGCCCGCCACGATGAAAGGGCCCTCAAGCACATCACTGACCGTCGACATGGCTCACACATTGGAATCAAGCAGACTGCCCCTCTGCCCACCATGCATTGTTGAGGAAAGGTTGCAGTATGTTCTGACATTTCCTGACAACGTCAGCAAGAAGTGCAGGGATTGCAAAACCATTAGCCATTGTAATGGCTTTCAGCTGTTGTTTTGACAGTTGCCTCTGAGAGACAGCTATTTAGCCACACTAGCAACAAAAGCGATTGAAGTCAAAAGAACGTCTCTGAGACAGCCATGCGCGCAGCGAAATGTCTAAAACCCGTTCCTAACAAGTGAGTCAGTGAGTCGCGCTTGGTGAAATGGTCAATCGCAAAACTACAAAGTGTGATTGTTCCGACTGACGCCAAGCACAAGACGGGTGCCGGTCTCTCCTCACCTTCAACCACGTGCAAAAGACATCGACTACGAAGCCGCGGGCTCTAGAAGCATCATTGGATGTATATAGAACCTTGTGATGCAATTAAAAACAAAACACATTCGCTTTGCATGTCGGACGGTGCTAAGGTACTGGACTCTGCTAAACATCCAGCATGTCCTGCCTGCGTTCTGTCCCCATACCCTATCATACTCTCATATGAACTCACACACACATATATAATATATATATTTATTTATTAGTACAGTATATACATACGCAACGTTACATATTCTCAACTTGGTCCTGGAGTCCTGCCAACATGTTTGAAGACGTGAGTTTTTTCAGGGCATCGCCTTCACCGAGGTCTTCACGCTCATCCTCCCCCCTCCTCCAGCGGAATATAAACTTCCTGCGGCTGGAGTAGCTTAACTTAAATACAAAATCAGTACATGATGCTCCAGAATGTGCTTGGGCTGAGAAAAGTTGTCCGTGCACTGTCCAGCCACTCCTTTAGGGTTACAATCAAAAATCCTGCACAACAAAAACGGATTGGATACAGTGAGCCATGGCATAGCATGGCCTCGCCCTGGGGTTCTTCTTCTGCAGGAGCCTCCAAAGGCAGGGTTTCACCAGGTCAAGCATTTATCCAAATATTAAGTGTCGCAAAAACAACTAGGAAACAAATCATTAGTGCGAGCGCTTATTCAAGGAAGCTCCCCCCCGCCGCCAATCAAGTAGGGGCAGGCTTTCAACAGAAGAATGGCTTCAGGCTCCAGCCTCACCAGGTGCTTCGGCCTCCGCCGCAGCTTCCTCTGCTGCAGGAGCATCAGCGTCAGCCGCATCAGCTGTGTTAGCTGTGTCGTCGGCATCGGCAGGCACTTCAGCTTCGGCATCAGCGGCTGCATCTGCCTACAAAATCGTGCCGCTCCCAGTCAAGCAATACTACGGTGGATGCCTTGGATTATAAACAATGCCCACCAAGTGCATTTCAATCGTCAAACATGTTCACACAGGCACGAACCTCATCAGGAGCTTCCTCAGGAGCCTGGTCCAGCATCAGCATGCATGGCCCAGTGTCGATGAGGAAGTCCAAAACTCACTTGCAACTGTGACTCCTGCCTCTGCTTCAAGGGTCTCCTCTGCCGCAGCCTCTGCCTAAGACTCACAGTTCAAAACCCAGGCTAGAGGCTAGATTAACAATATCTTGATAATGTCAATAACTACACCTGGTGCCGAAGACACCATGACTCACATACTTCCCAGTATACATAATGTGTAATATACGGTAAATATATTGAGTATAAAGTACAGCTCACTACCACCTTGTGCTGGAGGCAAATGCTAGATGCAACCCCAATGAGAAACTTAAACGGCTCATGAAATCCTGACAACTAAGTGCTTGGCATCTAGCTCTGCGGTCTCACCTGTGTTCCCAGTATCTGGCGTCTCAGAAATCGCAAACACAACGGAATGCTGCCACGTACGGGCTAAGTACTCAGCCCTCAGGAGGCCCTGATGCAGCATGGATGTGAAAGAAAGGCTCCAAGACCAAACATATCAGGCTCTTAGTTTTAATCAATCCCTTCTTTTGAGATGACCAGTATCTCACTGCAAAGCTCCATGCGCTAACCCGGAAAAACTACTTGCGGTTCGCACTACGAAGTCACTACTATCTCTGGCAAAGCCTTCTTCAGCAGCCTCAGGCTCTGCAGCCTCAAGCAGGTCAAAGGCTTGGATCCTTTCTTCGACATGAAACTGAAAGCCTGCTCAATAATCAAAGGAAGCGGGGACCGGCATTGGTTCAGCTCACTGGGATGCAGGTGCAAAACCGACCAAACAAAGGGACTGCCGCGCCCTTTGTCCATTGCTTGAGCCAACGCGGGTCGACCACGTGGCATGAGTGAGAAACGCTCTCGAAGGTTCGATAGGCCAACCGGTTGGAATGCACATCATGGTGGATTGCCATGCTCATTTTCACACCCATTATCTTTATTGGCCTTCGAACCGGTGGCCTTCAAATCTATGTTCAAACCCTTCATCAGCAGCTGCAGCCCTTCATGCTGCATGCCCTTCGTCAGCATGTCAGCGTGCATCTTGTCCGTTGACGTCCATGTCAACTTCGTTGAAGCCTCCGTTGGCAAAGTGTCAGTCGCCAACGGGTCGCCGACCTCCTCACCAGGCAACCTCCACAGGGTCTGTCGCAGGCCGCACATGTCGATTGCGAGCCGCTTGTCAGAGACAACATGGAGTCCTGACTGGTTGCCATGGTCACAAAGGGACTTACAGTCCGTGACCCACTCCACAAAGATCTCGTCCATCGCCGAGACCTGCCAGCGAGGGATAGTGGTGTCCGGATGCCGCAGGCCATAGAGCACAAAGCGAAGATGGTCGGCCTCCTCACTGCCGGCCAGGAGAGAAAGCGTCTCCGCTTGGAGCGTGCTCCTGCACACCCGCTTCAGCACCGTGGAGTGCCACTCCACCAGGCATAGGCGACCTTGCCTATGCTCATGGAAGCTCGGATCACCCAAGCACAGCAGCCTGCCGCTCTGGCTGCGGTAGCCCATCTTGGCTCCTGAGGCGCTTGCGGCTGGCATCTTGGATTGCCAGGATCATGGCATTCTCGAAGGTGAAGGCCCCAATGGGGTATGCCAGTCCTGAGTCCTTGGTCTTCATGGCGAGGTTCACCACGGAGTTGGCGTACTTCACATCGCCAAAGGTCGCAGAATGCACGGCCATCTGCATCCTGCAAACTGCATAGGCCAGGTCAGGCCTGCAAACACGGGCCAACCAAGCAAGGCTTCCGATGATGCTTCGAAGCTGCCCTCGAATGCTTTCAGGCACAGGCTGTTCTTCACGGCGCTTCTGCTCCTGAGTCAGCCAAACAGGTCGAACTCGATCGATGAGGTTGTCACACTTGACATAGATGTGGGTCTCATCGCGGCTGATGTTCCGGCCGCAGTAGCGGAAGGTGTCCTTCTCGACCTTTCCGAAGTTGTAGTGCTTGCAAATCTCATCCATGCGAGCCTCAACAGTTGCTCCTCCAGTCCACATCAAATCATCAACGTGGGTGATGAGAAGTCCAGCCAGTTCGCCATTGTCCTCCAACAGAGTGTATGCTCCGGGCTCATAGGGAACAGGCTTGAAGCCTTTCTTGCCAACTGTGCCATCAAGGTTCTTCCACCAGCCAAGGGGTGCATCACGAGTCCCGTAGACAGTGCTGCTGACGATGTAGTACATGTTGGGAGGAACTCCAGGCACGCCATCTTTAGGAAGGCTAAGCACCAAAACACGGTTCAGCTTGCTGCCCTGCAAAAAGGCGGCGGAAATGTCGCCTGACCAGAGTGAAGAATTCCTGCAAGCTGCCAATGTCAAAACGACGGAAAGCATCGTGAGCGAGCAGGTCGGTGAGTCACAGCGCATCAAAGAGCTGTCTTCAAGATCTCCTCGAACGACCAATCGAGACTTCAGTCGCTCTTCCTCACCAATCTCGCTCTTGTCGGTGTCCACCCAGCGAGTCGGAATCACACGGAGGTTGGGATTCTCCTTCTTCATGTCGTTCACCTCCTGCTCATCGGCCAAGCGTCCATCACTGTAATGCATCCAGTTGGACCATTCTTTCCCCCTTGTCACAAGCAGCTTCTTCTGCCGCTCTGGAGTCTCCTTCATGAAGTGGAGTTCTCGGCCAGCTCCGACCTTTTGGGTCTTCTTCTTGTACTTCCGCTCAGTCTTCTGGGCCATAAAGCTGTCTGAAGATGAAGGTGGCCTTCTGGAGAAAATGCCATCAAGGCGATCTGGATCAGCTCGAAGTGACCTAGTGAGCGGTGTCACTTCTTCCGATGTCGTGGTAGGTAAAGTTGAAGATCCAATGGCATTGATGGTTGAGGTACTTGGAACCGGAGTAACCTCAGCTTCCGGTTGGCTGCTCTGTGTCGAGACTCTAGTCATAGCCTCGGCTGATGTCATCACATCATCTTCTGGAATCATAGGTGGTTGTCCTTCTAGTCCAGGTGGTGGTTCAGGAAGCTCGGGATTGGTGTTCTCAATCAAAGGCATCGGTGCCGGAGAAGACAAAGGTGGTTGTCCTTGTCCATCAACAGCCCCTTCAGGGTTAGCAGCCACTCCTGTCTCGCCTGCCATCAAAGGGACTTGATCCCGATGTCCACCACTGAAGCCCTGCGCATGGATGTAGTCATCGGAGAAGGGAAGATCTTCATCATCATCCATGTCTTGGAGAAGCTCTCGCTTCCGCTTCCGATCAGGGCGTAGCTCAAGGCAATGCTTCTTGAGCACTTCTGAAGTTGTTGCCGGTCTGCACGAAGTCTCTGCCACCAAGATAGCTACTCCAGAGTGAAGCAGCCAGAGTGAGGATTTGCCCTCTGCAGTCAGTACGCGTGCAGGACCATACCACTTGTTCTTCTTGTTGAAGCAGACAAGATCTCCAGCTTTGCAGGGTCCTCGCATCGGCACACTCTTCCTCAGCAAAGCTCGCCGGACACGTTGAGAGGTGTCCATGCGGATGTAGGCTTCCTTGGCCCATTGTCGGATCAACAGCTGCTTGGCATAGATGTCCTGAGCACCATCTTCAGCATCTATCAGAACTTGATGATTGCCAAGCTGCTCATTGGGGTCATTGTTTGCCAGTGAAGTCACATCTCCTGGCTGATAGCCCATGACCCA